TTTTGCTTTAGACTCACTTGATTTAGCACAGCTGATTACAGTCACCTAAACACATCAGATGAAATGCTCTACACTAACTTACTGACTATAAAAATATAGGCAGAAGTGAGAGAATTTGATGCTCATTAATTATTTTTGAAAACTAATTAATTATATTAATAATAACAACAATCTTCCCTGTAATTAATTTAAAATCATGTTGAAATTTAATAACTCACTTGTCCCTTTAGGTCATACAGCAGGTAAAATAAGTATTGAACACGTCACCATTTTTCTCAGTAAATATATTACTAGAGGTGCTAATGTCATGAAATTTTCACCAGATGTYGGTAACAACCCAAGTGATCCATACATACAAAGAAATCAAACCATAAATGTCCAGAAATGAAGTTATTTGTATAATGTGGAATGGCACAGGGAAAAAGTATTGAACACATGAAGAAAGGGAGGTGTAAAAAGGCATGGAAAGCCAAGACACCAGCTGAACTCTCTCAGTAATTAGAAAGCAAGCCTGCCCCTTGTCAGTGCAAATTAATATCAGCTGGTTCAGTCCCAAATGATGGCCAGGTATCACACAAGAAACATCTGAAGATGGGTAAAAGTAAAGAGCTCTCTCAAGACCTTCACAACCTTATTGTTGCAAAGCATAATGATGGCATCGGTTACAGAAGAATGTCTAAACTTCTGAAGGTTCCAGTGAGCACTGTTGGGGCCATAATTCAGAAGTGGAAAGAACATCATTTCACCATAAACTGACCACGACCAGGTGGTCCTCACAAGATTTCTGACAGAGGAGTGAAAAGAATTATCAGAAGAGTTGTCCAAGAGCCAAGGACCACTTGTGGAGAGCTTCAGAAAGACCTGGAATTAGCAGGTACGATTGTTTCAAAGAAAACGATAAGTAATGCACTGAACCACCATGGCCTGTATGCACGCTCACCACGCAAGACTCCACTGCTGAAGAAACAGCATGTTGAAGCTCCTTTAAAGTTTGCTGCACAACATTTAGACAAGCCTGTGTAATACTGGGAGAATATAGTCTGGTCAGATGAGACCAACATTGAACTGTTTGGATTCCAGAATACACATCATGTTTGGAGGTCAAATGGCACTGCACATCAGCCCAAAAACACCATACCAACAGTGAAGTTTGGAGGTGGGAACATCATGGTGTGGGGCTGTTTTTCAGCATATGGTACTGGCAAACTTCAAATAATTGAAGGAAGGATGAGTAGAAAAATGTACAGAGACATTCTTGATAAAAATCTGCTTCCATCTACCAGGATGATGAAGATGAAACGTGGCTGGACATTTCAGCAAGACAATGAGCCCAAACACAAAGCCAAGGAAACTCTCAGTTGGTTTCAGAGAAAGAAACTAAAGCTGCTGGAATGGCCCAGCCAATCAGCTGACCTGAATCCAACAGAAAATCTATGGAAAGAACTAAAGATCAGAGTTCATAGAAGAGGTCCACGAAACCTTCAAGATTTGAAGACTGTTTGTGGAAGAATGGGCCAAAATCACACCTGAGCAATGCATGCCACTAGTTTCTCCATACAGGAGGCGTCTTGAAGCTGTCATTGACAACAAAGGCTTTTGTACAAAGTATTAGATAAATTTCAGTAAGTGTGTTCAATACTTTTTCCCTGTGCCATTCCACATTATAACAAATAACCTCATTTCTGGACATTTATGGTTTGATTTCTTTGTATGTATGGATCACTTGGGTTGTTACCAACATCTGGTGAAAATTTCATGTCATTAGCACCACCAGTAATATATTTACAGAGAAAAATGGTGACGTGTTCAATACTTATTTTACCCGCTGTATGTTGAAGTTATAACAGAGTGCGTTGTCCACAAGATGGTGCTCCAGTTGGACTTTATCAATATGCATGAAGTCAAGTGGAAAAATCTGTTTTTGTGTTTTAGAGGACAAACAGTTCTAGATGGAGAAAAGTGTTGGGTCTTCTTGACACCCAAAAAGGAGCTGAGGGTCTGTCTGCAGTGTGCAGACAGACCCTTATTTTACCCGCTGTATATGTACTTTTCAGTTACAACCTATATTTTATTTAAGTGAGTGAGTAGGAACAGTGTGCATAAATATATTTTTAAATGGATAAAGTGAGCCAGAAAAAAATAAAAATAAGCCAAGTGTCTTATGGTTTTTTTTAACCCTTTCTTTATGTTTTAGTGAAGGTGTAGAAATGTCACTGTCAAAAATTGATTTGTATTGTTTACTCGCATCACATTACAATAATAGAACGAAATTTTTAATTTTATTTTATTTCATTTCAGTCAGTCACAGGTAGGAACATTTCTCCTCAGACGCAAACCCGGAATAACAATCAAACACACCAAACACAAAGGTGGGACCACTTTTTTCCTATTTCAACCTATCAGCGCGCTAAAACGCATTAGGTAGCATTTGATTGGTTAGATCTGGAGCCTATCAAAAGATAACTTGTTCTTGACACTTCCGCCTTGTCATTTTACAATCTGTTGTGGAAAATAGTAGACAGCTCGATTTATTGACGCTTTCTTTTGAAGTACTGCTGTTAAATATAAAAAAAAATTGTGGGGCTTTTCAGGTTTTAACGTTTAGTAGGCTATAGTTGAACTGTGTTAAAGAAAAATGCAAGGTTTAAGGTAAGAGCAGTGTTATATTATGTTGTTTTGAGACAATTAATTGTTAGTTCGTTGAAGAAACGCGATATTAGCCAAATTCTTCGCTAATTTTAGTGCTTTTAAAACTGTATTGTGTTGGTAAAAAGTTCCTCTCATGGTCGTGAAGAAGCCATGAAGTGTCGAGCAGTTTAATCCAGCCATCATGCGGGTGGTTGAGTAATCTGCTGAGGTTTCTCAATTTTCACAGAAAGCTCTTCCGGCCTTCTTGGTCCTCTGCTGTAAAACTCGATGACACAACTGCGGTCATTACTGGCGCAAACACTGGGATCGGTAAAGAAACAGCCATTGACCTGTCAAAGAGGGGTGGGTACACCTGACTGTTGCTTTATAAATTTAACTTGTTTGGCATAGTTTTACCTGTTAAATTTAGCGCTTTTTGTTAATAAAACTTTTTTTCTCTGTGACAGAAACGCAAATGTATGTATGGTGTAATCTAATTTTACTTCACTTTGTAATGAGTGTTTAATTTTTATTTCGAATAATTACCAGTTTTTTGTCAGAAGATGGCGCTCTAAACTTTTAGTGAAATTTCTTGGACGGTTTTCTTGCACAATTTGAACATAGATTGCATATATTGTTGTGAGTCRTTGCTGGGGTTTTTATCATTATTATCATTATCATTTTATTTGTCATATAAGTGGCACTGCATGCAATATACAGTAACA